TAGTAGCTCGTGCATATCTCTGAAGGTCACGAAATATAAACCTGATGTAAAATCTCTGTCATCAGTGATGCAGCAGCAAAAGTCCCACTGATAATATCAAACGGAGTCATAAAGTTTTCTGTCGGACTATCACTGTACATGTATACATTAAAAAATAAATGTATTTTTCATCATCATATACTGTGTTTTTGTCGCTCGAATGAATTTTATTATTTCTTCAAGGCTCTTCACATACGTACACCTTAAGAGATATCAAGTAGGCGTAACATGTTCTCAAAAAATTAGGGTTGGCACGCAGAAGAATTTTGAGTCAGAGATTTTGCTGGTTTTGGCATGCACTCACAAAAAGGTTGCCCACCCCTGGTCTAGAGCCTACCAACAACCCAACCATCATGATATTGGCACAAGCCATAGGCTACAGAGGTGACAAGGGAAAGCTGTGTGGGCCAGGTGTGCACTTCTCTTCCACCCCTTTGGCAAATCAACACTATGCTCAAAGGCAGCTGTCTTTAAAATACAGTCACAGACCTTTGAGAGTACTGAAAAGCTGTCAGGTAATCTAAACGCGAATGCATCTGAGTCATAAGTGACACTATTCTAAAAACGATTAAGACAAAATGCTGGGAGAACTGGGGGGGAACATGCAGAAAAGGAGGGCAGGAAAAACAACTAAATAGAAATTCCATTAAAGCTTAAACTGTGACTCAAATTTGAAAAGTCCTGCTGAGTCGCATCTTCCCAGCCAATTTTCTTACAAGGGGAACTAATTAGAAACTAATATTCTAAATAAAATATTTCTAACACAAACACCTTAAACTTAAGTGAAAGCATATCAAATAATGTCAATCGAATTTCACAACACAAATAACTGGCTAAGTTACCACAGAAAAGCAACTTGTGTGCTGGAACAATGAAACTTATCTTTGGAAGTGAGAAGACTTTGGTGGGCACCTAAGATGTTATTTCTCTTTAAGAAAAAAAAAATCTTCAAGTCATCCCTAGAAAAAGATTACACGATCTTTCCATTTCAATTTCTGGAAAGATTATCAGAACAAAATTTTGACTCAATTGTGTTAGTTCTTTTCTTCAGAACACTTAAAAAATAAACCAAACCTACAGTTATTTGCTCCATTAACTAACTTAAGGGTAATTTCTAAAACAAGTAGATTCCACTTCCCTCTCCCTCCCACCCATACAGAAATAAAAAAATGTAAGCCACCAGTGGTAGAAACCAGACTTCTCAGTGTTGGATAGAGAAGTGGACTGGTAAACATATAATAAAAAACAAAACGGTTATAAAATACCATCCCAAAACTCATCACAGATTATCAACAATAAACAATAATGTTATCTACTAATAAAAGCTTAAGAAAAAAATTTATAAATCAATTGTGATTAATAAATGTTTCCATACTGAATAATAAAAAATCCTATAATAATGAGAAATACAAATGTAAAAAAAAACCCAAAAACTCCCTTCAAGGAGGTGAGATAAAACATTTACTCATTTGAAAATGAAGCCCAATTTTCTTAGTAGTGCCTCTGCCTTCTAGTATCCTCAGAATTTTCCAAACCTGAAGCTACTTCTTTATGTGCCCAACTTCCTTCTCTTTCATTTTTTTAAAAAACTAAAATCTTGGTAAAATGTGTTACACATTTCTAACCTTTCTTAAACAGAGCATATTGGAACCATTTTTTGAATGTGGCACCATTAAAAATAGCCTCTCAGGGCCATGAAGCACAGAAAGCTGTTTCATATTGCTCTATACAAACTGGCTGGCCTGTTTTGTTTGAGTCTGCTTTTAAGGTTTTCCTATCCCCACTTCTACCATCAAATGTGCATGCCTCTAACAGCTCATCACCTCATGTTTGGACTACTACAAAACCCTTCTAATTTGCTACTTTTAATATGATAGGAAATCTAGTATCAAAACTTATTTGAACTATAGTTTTTTTAAGTTACAATACAAATGAGTGAAAAGTATGAGCTTAGTGCATTAAATGTATGGAGGTATTTTGAAATTGTTTAATCTTATATTTAAGTTGCATTAAAACTGAAACTGTTTCCTCAATTTGTTAAAACATTACAACATTTACTTTTCTAATATTGTAATTGGTTTCAAATTCTAAGTTAATAGCATTATTATGTTGTATACAGCTGTACTACCTACAATGATTTCACTAGAACTACACACTCAATGACACATAAAAGGTTCTTCCTTTATGCCTAATTACATTCATTCTAATAACATATGGTGAGGTAATAACAAGGTAAGAATCTATTAGATGAACTCACAAACCTAATTTCCAAAGGAGATACATGTATACTATAAAAAACTTTTATTTCAAAAATTGGGCTATCTTTTAGACTCCTTATTTTTATTTCATCTACTTTCGACTGATGATGGGTTATATATTCAAATCACTAATAATGAACTAAAATTTAGTTGATATTTACTCCACACTTAAATGTACTAGGGTTGTATATTTTAGGGGAAAGAAACATAAATTTTAATATAAACCTTAATATGAATATTGATGATATTATAATTTTAATTCATTTACAACTACCACTTACTAAGGGGTAGGGGGAGAGGCAGAAATGAGGTAAGTTAAGGAACTACAAAATTAATGTGATTATAGCACGACCAGCTTTGGGGCTCTTAAAAAACAAAGAAGCAATGAAATCTTGCAAACACTTTTGACAAAATAACTCCAGAAGGAATGTACACATTAAAACAAGAACAAAACAAAGAGTTCACAATATTGCTAGACAACAGTATTAAATGTCACTTCTAAGAATATTAATTATCACAGAAAGGTATTTCTAGCTGTTAACGGAAATCTCCTTGAAAAAGCATTTCAGTATTTTCTAAAGACAAATAAGGAGACTTAATAATAAATAAGATACATTTCACAGTTGCTAAATTTTATAAGATGCCCATAACAGTACCTGGTTCTGATTTTTACTGGTCCCTTTAACAGGATCACAAGTCTTAAAGGACCAACTCTCCCAGCTCTGTGAAGAGCAGAACCATGGGCATGCCTTTAGCAGTGGCCAGAGGGGTTTATATTACTCACAGAAGAAACAGTAAAGAACTCTGACAGTGGGAGTGTTAAATATCTGAATAAATTATTTAGAGCAGTTGTGAGATCTCACTCTCTTTAATATTAGAACAGGCTCTCACCAGCCTTGGAAAGGTTCTGAAGAAATGCTATTCAAAATCAAAACTGGATAGCTTCTTGAAGTTCCTTCCACACTCAGAGACTAAGAATTATACATACATCTATGTCCAACACCACTAGTAACACCAAACACAACTTTTCTGCAAAGCAATACCTTTACTTAATTAGAGGAAATTAAAAAGGTGGCTTCCTGTGAAGTTTTGTGTTCTGCTAGGTAGCTGGGTCTTCTTTATCTGCATTCTCCTGGCTTCCATGGAACCAGAAGTTAACTGCATTTACTTTCCAAAATTTAATTTTTAAACCAAATCCTAATTATAGCATGGACCCAAATTACTAAACTCATTTCCCTAATGAGCTACATGACCTTGGGAAGTTACTTCTTGTAAAATGAGAGGCCTTGCCCTAAGATCAACTAGAATGCAACCTTCATGTTCTGTTCTGCACCGTACTCCCAGCCCCAGTATAGGGAAGGCATTAATGAGAAGATCATTACCAAACTACAAATATAAAATAAATGTAATAATTTTTCTTTTAAAAACAATTAGATTTTAATCTGTATATTAGGTTTTAACCTATATATTCCCAAACATTTTTAAGAGGACAATGAAACTAAAATTTCCTATTCAATAAATAAAGTTTTATATAATTTAAAATAAGGTATTTATAAAACGGGTAAATCATACAAGAACCAACAAACTTCACCCAGTTTGTTACACTTCCCTTTTCTTCATCCCCTTTAACCCATGACTATATCTTGTCTCTTTCTCTGAAACAAAAATAAGCTGGTAGAGAGAACATGCACTGGATTTGCAGTGAGAAGGCCTGAGTTCCAGTCTTATCTCTTTCATTAACTGGCTCTGTAGGGCCAAGCCACTTTCCCTTTGGGGACTGCAAGACTGCATTTGTAAAACAAGGTAGCTAAACTAATTATTAATTTCTAAAGTCTTCTGCTTTAAAAATCTGTAATTCTCCTTTTATTCTAATTACTATTCTATTCCTAATGCCTTGATTCAGTGCTTGCCACCTCATTCCCAGACTTGTACAGTAGCCCCCTATGTATTTCCTTATTTTTCCTTCTTATCCTAAAACTAGAGGCCCAGTGCACGAATTCATGCACCAGTGGGGTCCCTCGGCCTGGCCTGCGGGATCAGGCCCAAACTGGCTTTCCGACATCCCCTGAGGGGTCCTGGATTGTGAGAGGGCGCAGGCCAGGCTGGGGGACCGCACGGTGCAAGATCAGGGCCCAGGGAGGGATGCAGGAGGGCTCCAGGGAGTGTCTAGCCCATCTCGCTCAGTCCGGATTGGCCAGACCCCAGCAGCAAGATAACCTACCAGTCAGAGTGTCTGCCCCCTGGTGGTCAGTGCATGTCATAGCAAGTGGTTGAGCGGCCTTAGCATATCATTAGCATATTACACTTTGATTGGTTGAATGGCCAACCGGACGACCAGACACTTAGCATATTAGGCTTTTATTATATAGGATGAATTCAATCCTAAAACCATGAGTTAAGCAGAGTGAAAAACACAGTCTTTAAAGTCAGAGAGACCCAGGTTTAAATTAAGACTCTGCCACTAACTAACCGTATCTCTAAGATGGTGATATTATTAACTATCTCACTAAGGATTGAATAAACTGTATACAAAGTACCTAACACAATGCCTGACATGTTGAAATACTCAACAACAATGAGCAACTTTCACTATTCCCCAAGATCAAAAGTTTGTTTCCCACTATAGCAAGGGTGACCAATAAGCTGCACAGGTGGCATGCAAGAAGACTTATAAGAGGCAAAAACTGAGTTAAACATTCTCACCAGGCTCCTGTGTCTGCCTGTATTCTGCCAATATGCTTCTGGGTAAAGCAGCCTCAGTCACCAGCTCCTTGTGAATTCTCAAAATTAAATGGTGCAGCCTCCCCAGGCCAAATCGACAGTTCAAGAGGAAATGAAAACTGGACACAACTCCTCAAAAAGACATAGATCCTCTTGGTTTTACCTGAAAGCAAACTCCTGCCTATCATCCTGTGAAAAGCCAGTTCCAATATTTTGTACTTAAATGTACAGGTAATACAGGTAATGTTAAAATACCATCAAGCATGGTAATTTAACTTGGTTTTTCAATCACAGGAAATTAAAATGTGACAAAAGAAAAAAATAAAATTTCTCACAAAATGAGGATTTTCTCAGAGCTTTGTAGAGTTACACAAATGCCTCAGCAAAAGCAATGGCTTTCTTTTTTATTTCAAAAGTGGGTCAAAAGTGGAAGGAACAAGAAGAGGAGTAATGGGGGTTTGCTTGCAAAGAGAAGCTCATTTCTTATAAAGTGACTTAAGTAGAGTTAATTAATGATAGGGAATTTTTAAAAAATTTCCAAACTAGGAATAACAATCTTACTGCCATACATTAGTCGATGATACAGCTGAGTTACTGGGTAACACAGGGCACTCAATCAAGTGTATAGAAGTCTGGAAACGAAAGAAATCTTGAAAGAAATTTGGTTTTTTGAAGTGCCTTCTCTCCCAAGCTACTTCAGTCCAAGCAATTGCTGCCAAAGTATGCAATTAAAAGAATATAACACTATTTAGGGAAAAATCCTGCAGAAAGCTTAGCTTCATTAAGAATTATCAAAAAAAAAAAAAAAGAATTATCCAAATTCCTGTATCTACTTAAGAACACAAACCACCAATTGAAAATGTGTTCTTCTGTGATCAGGCCCACCAGCTCTACTGGACCCTTTGAATTACACCACCCAATGAACTGACCGAAATTCCTGCCCCCAGCTGCCATGCTGCTTCTGGTTCATCGTTTTTTTAAACAGCAGTTAAAGTTCATCCACACCCGCCCACCCCCCCCCCCCACACTGGTTCTATTGTCCACGCCCCAAGTGTAGCCACCCCAAATTTTTTTAAGCCCAGTGGGAGCTTCCATCAGCACAGCGGCGCCCCTGTTTTTTCCGCAAAATGGCTTTTTTTTTGGGTGCCAGGGGACAGTTACGGGGGAGTTTAACGC